GTTTTGTAGAATTAAGTAAAAGGTGAAACCTAAAAGATCATATAATCACATACAAATATAAAATGTCAAAGATTTTATTTAAGTCATTAATTAATGCAGGAACTAATAAGATTTTATAATCAGATCAAAGAAAAAATCAAAACAACACACATATGGAGCCAAATAAGGAATGCTAAAATGAATTAGAAATTGATCAAAAACAGGTCAATATCCATAGGACAAGAATCAATTGCATTCCTCCTCATACAATTTACATTTCTATGGACAAGAATAATTTGTATTACTCATGGTTACCTACAACTTGCAGAGTTGTCAAGTAGCTCAAAGACAACGAAAAGCAGAGTCCTCACAGAATTGGGGAACCTGGAAGGATGTGCTGGGCAACCTATTTTTCCACTGAAGGTACTTGGTAATCTTTTAGTTCACTTCAGAGCCTTTCACAATTTTGCCCTGCATTGGCCTAGTCATCAGAAACGTGCACCTCCCCCCTTTTGACCCAGACCCCTGAAGGCCTGCCACACTGTTGCCTGAGAGTATACTGGAAGAACACCCAGTTATTCCTTCTGCCTATTTCCAAGTTTGGGGTCATTTTTCTTGACATTCAGAACCTTAGAAATGCAAGTTGTTCGGTGTTTGTGAGGGTTGGTAATCCTTGCAGGTAAATTCTATAGTCCATATTTAGCTGTAGCAACTCTGAAATGTCTCTGGAGACTCAGACTGATAGGGGTGTGATGCCTGTGACATGAATATGGTATTTATAGAAATAGAGCTTTTTTTAAACTTCTGTTCCCTTGTATTCTGTTAGCCCTGAGATGCCTGAAAATGAAGCCACCTTCGCAATAACTGCTGGAGGGATTGGGGATGCCAAGGAGTAGGCGGCGAATTGATGCAGATTGTTTCTTAGTGCTTATTAGGAGCTGAAGAAATGGAAGAGCAGTCTCAAATTTCAGACCTTGAAGTAAGAGTTTGTTTTTTTCACATGTTATTACAGGAAAGTCAACAAAAGGAATTTAAATCTTATATTTATCCTAAAAGTCCCTGATGTATAATCACTATACATTGTATGTCAATTCAGGAAAAAAAAAAAAAAATATATATATATATTCATACATGTGTATATATGAATAAAGCTATTGAAAACTAATTGGGAAGGGGTACCTGATCCTATCACTTTAGCTGTCCAAAGTCAGCCACTAAACAGAAAATCTAAGAGCCCAGAAATGCACCATTCTCCTATCATTTCCCCTTGAACACTTACAGAAGTGGACACACTTCCAAAAGAGGGGAAGCCATTTACAGGACACACAAAAAAGCTTTTTTTATTTACAACATCAAACTGTACATTCACCTCTATAGCAATGGAAAAGAAATATTAAATTAAACTAAATTTTAAACCATTTGACTTTTTGACAAGTTGAAATTACTTTTAAAAAATGTATTTCTGATTCAAACATATTTTATGGGGTGATAAAGAGGAAGGTAACTAGGAAATTTACAGTTTGGGGTAATCAATGTAGCATGAGTTTTATATATATATATTTTTAAAGATTTTATTTATTTATTTGACAGAGAGAGACACAGTGAGAGAGGGAACACAAGCAGGGGGAGTGGGAGAGGGAGAAGCAGGCTTCCCGCCGAGCAGGGAGCCCGATGCGGGGCTCGATCCCAGGACCCTGGGATCATGACCTGAGCCGAAGGCAGACGCTTAACAACTGAGCCACCCAGGCGCCCCATGAGTTTTATATTTTAAGTTTGGGGTAGAGAATTCAAAATATTTTTTAAAAAATATTAAAGTTAATTTACATGTAAAATTTCTGAACACTAAATTTAGAAATGTGCAAAAGAATATTGTTTTTTTCTGTTAAACAAAAATAAAATCTAGTTTTCAGAATGAATGTATGATAAAAGTATTTCAAAATTAAAATACTATTTATAATGACAATCTTTATAGACCTCAAAAAGATTTCATCTCTTACGTTGCATCACCTTGTATGAAAATGCAAGTATTGAAAGTACCATTTGTTACAAAAGATATTTGATTATCCATTCTCATTCACTCAGCAACGCTTAGAGCTAAAAAATAGACAAGGAAAGAATGGTTCCTGCCCCCAAAGAATGTGTACACTAGTTAAGAGAAAATACTAATATTTATGAAAGAATGAAAGAGAGCAAATGATTATTTAATTAATTTATCAGTAGTGTGGTCTTGGATTATAGGATTCCAAAAATGGGAGAGGAAAGGTTAAGCTGTGGGACAGCATGTGCAAAGGCAGAGAAGCTGGGATTTGGAAACAGAGACCAGCCTGACAAGCAGAAATTGTTCAGTGTGGGGTACTGGGAAATAAGAGCTTTTTTTTTGTTTTTACTTTTTTTATACCACAGAAGCTGTTTTCTGAAGAAGCAGAGATAAGTCATCTAGGAGCAGATTTTCTGTATTCAGCAAAGTCACTTAAATGACTTCTTTTGGTATACAAATATAAATGCATACTTTTTGCCCTGGGGAAGGGAAGATTTTGTTACTTGATAAAAACTGAGCTACAGCTAAAGATTCCCTGGTATGCAGAGCACTAGAGGGCAATGGACTAATTTATATAGGAGCCCGGAGCCTTTTGGTAGGAAAGGAAATATAAGTCCCAAGATTTGAGATTCAGAAAAATTTTCTGGATTAAATTGAGTAACCCCCTCACCAATGAGAATTTACCGAGAGGTGGGCAGTAGGTTTGGAAACCAGCACCTAATCCAAGGGCCTACCGTTCTGTGGGTAGGCTAGTTATAATATGACATGTAGCTAAAGCCGGAAACCTCTCTGGGTCCAGCTACTCTATGTGTCCTGCTTTGGAGAACAGTAGCTGAGAACAGTGAACTAAGAAGCTGTAACCTTGGGGCCCAACTTTGGGACAGCAGAGCAGATTGTGCGGTGCCCATGGAACTCTGCTAGGCCAGGGTTCAATATGCTGGGGCTTTCCAGTCCTCCCCCTCCTCTCACTCCTGAAACAGCTCTCACTCCTTATTCTAAGAGGGACAGAAAAGCTAAAAAACGAGCTTTTTTTGGTCAGGACTCTTGGTTGCAAGCCACAGAAACTTAAAGTAGCAAATGGAAGATAGGAATTCATTGGCTCATGAAACCAAAAAGTCCAGAAGTAGTGCTGACTTTAGCCACAGATGGAGCCAAGATCTCAAACAGCATCATCAGGACCTGCCTCCTTTTCGGGTCTGATCATTTCCATGCTGCTCTTGTTCGCAGACAGGCTTTCCCCGCATAGTAGCCAAGATGCTGCTTGAGGCTCTAGGCTTACATCCCACTAAGTTAGAAAACCCACTAGAAAAAGCATGCCTTTTTCCTCCATAGATTATTCATTCTGTGGAAAAAAACAAACAAACAAAGACTATCAAATGAGAACAGAGGTTATTTACTCAGAGTTTGCTACAGCAAGAGAGTCAGTGACCTCTATTTGCTTTTCATAGAGACTCAAAGGCAGGCAGAGGAATGGGAAAGCTTTATAGTAGAAGAAGGAAAGGCTTTAGATGTGTTCTGATTGGAAGTTGTTGGCATGGGGAAGCTGGAGGATTAATCTGATGGAGACATAGAAAATGGATAAAGGAAATAACACTGGCATCAGGGAGACATTTTAGGAAACAGTTACAAAAATTAAACTGTGAGATGGTAAATACTGGGACTGGAGTAGCAGTGAAATAGACATTTCAAGAAGGTGGTTAAGAATTGGTGTGAGATTGGGGCGCCTGGGTGGCTCAGTTGGTTAAGCGACTGCCTTCGGCTCAGGTCATGATCCTGGAGTCCCGGGATCGAGTCCCATATCGGGCTCCCTGCTCAGCAGGGGGTCTGCTTCTCCCTCTGCCCTCTTCCCTCTCGTGCTCTCTGTCTCTCATTCTCTCTCTCTCAAATAAAAAAAAAAAAAAAAAAGAATTGGTGTGAGATTGAATAAAAACAGAAGAGTCACAGGTGACTATTGACAAAGTTCTCTAACCTATGAAAGGAGATTATATTTGTATCATGATCAGGAATGAGGAAGTGGCTAATAGAGATTAGGGCTTTTACCTGGGAAGGTTTGTGTATTAGTTTTCTAGGACTGCCATAACCAAATACCATAAACTGGATGGCTTAAACAACAGAATTTTATTGTCTCACAGTTCTGGAGGCTATAAGTCCAAGGTCAAGGTTGGTTCCTTCTGAGGTCCATGAGGGAGAATCTGTTCCCTGCCTCTTCCATTGCTTCTGTTGGTTTTCTGGTGACCTTCAGCATTCCTTGGCTTGTAGAAGAATCACCCCATTTCTGCCTTCATCTTCACATGACATTCTTACTATGTGTATGTCTTTGTGTTCAAATTTCCCCCTTTTATAAGGATACCAGTCATGTTGGATTAGATGCCCACCCTACTCTAGTGAGACCTCAATTTAACTAATTACATCTATAATGACCTTATTCCAAAATAAGGTCACATTCTGAGGTATTAGGGGTTAGGACTTCAATGTATGAATTTTAGTGGGGACAGGGACCATAGCAGTTAGTAAGAATCAGGTAAAGTCAAGGGTCAAACATTGTTGGCCCGTAACCTCCTCAGGAGCTTCCCAGGGGTAATCTGAAATCAGCCCCCATGGGTGGAGGACAGGGAGAGACTGAAGAAAGAGGCAGACCCCTCTCTTGGTGGGTGGCCATTTTAATAAGCAAAAGGAACTTACATATGAGGCTTGTCTCAGGCAGCAGCAAGACAAGTTTGGATCCCTGCACCCGCCCACCAAATCTTAAAAGTTTATGGAGAGGCCTTAACTGGGTTCAGTCACATTGAGAAGACCAAGAACACCGTACAGGTGTTCTCAACACCACACTATCTCAAGTCTATCCTTAGAAAAATGGGAAAGACAAGTGAAACCCATACTCTAAGGATGGGGGAGGGGGTAAGGAGCTCCGATTGCCTGAGTCTAGCTCACAGGTCAACAGGCATTCATGTCTTCTCAGTGACCTCCCCTAACAAACACCAGGATGCACAAGACACAATCTGTACTCAATACAGGCTACAGTCAGAAACATGTAAGTCAAGATCTAGGGAAACCTAGTATCTACTTAGAAAATGAAGAGGGTGAAATAGAATATTTCTACCACTCCTTTCTAACTTTCCTGTTCAATCATTCCTTAAACAGAAAAGAAAAAAACAAGGATAGAAAGCCCGATTAGAATAGGGTGGCCAAGCCAAAAATAGGGAATACAATAGACTAGACACCTGAGAAGGGATATCTTTTTATGGCGAAAAGAGGGATTGGGACCTTGGACACCAAGCTTACCTGGTCAAGTCTTCTTCACCTGACTCTGGCTTGGATATAGTGAATGTTTATAATTTTTTGGTTGTACAGTTTCCATTTTTCTATTATAATAACACTCTGGTTTTCTTTTAAAGAGTTATCTCTCCCCAGTTCATGTAGTCTATCCTGAGACATTGGATACTGAGTGATAGTTGCAAGGATTGAAACATGGGTTAGAAGCCACTCATTTGTACAGTGACAGCAGGGTGGCCGAGCCAGCAGCAGTGGCAGTGACCTGGCAGTCTGTTCCTGCTGCTAGACTGCAGGTTTCTGACTCCTCAACTGCAGTGTTGTTCAAACTCCTGTCCATCCCTGGGGTGGTTTTCCAGCCTCCTGCCAACTCAATGACTCCTAATGTCCTTCTGACAAATTTTCCTTTGCTTCAGCTAGCCAGAGTTGGACTATACATACTACTTGCCATCTAGAACTCCAACCAAGGCACAGAGAAAGTGATTCCCAAATGCTGCTTCAGGGAAATGGAGAAAAAAGAAGCCAGGAAGGGCTTGCTTAACACCCAGATGAAAGATTCCTTATTATTCATACTCTTCATATGTTCTTCTATACCAGTCTTTTTTGTTTTGTTTTGTTAAGTAGGCTCCATGCACAGTGTGGAGCCCCATGCAAGGCTTGAACTCATGACCCTGAGATCAAGACCTGAGCTGAAGTCAAAAGTCAGACACTTAACCTACTGAGCCACCCAGGTGCCCCAGTCTTTAATATATTAAAAGGAAATTTGGGGGATGCCTGGGTGGCTCAGTCGGTTAAGCATCTGCCTTTGGCTCAGGTCATGATCCTAGGGTCCTGGGATCAAGTCCTGCATCGGGCTCCTTGCTCAGCGGGGAGCCTGCTTCTCCCTCTGCCTGCCACTCATCCTGCTTGTGCACTCTCTCTCTCTCTGATAAATAAATAAAATCTTTAAAAAAAAAAAGGAAATTTGGGATTTTACTTGGCCGAATATAAAAGAAAAACTGAAAATAATGGTGTCTTAAACAAAATCAAGGTTTATATTTCTCTCATTGACAAGTAATCTGAAGCCAGGCAGTCCAGAGATGTTATGGTACCTCTACTTTGTCCTAGGGACCCCTACTTTGTCATCAGGCTTCTTTCTGCTTGACCATTCTCGCTCTTGGTTTCCATCCTCAGGGTCACCTTATGACCTAAGATAGTGCTTGGAACTCTTGTCAGAGAAACCAAGCTGGGGGAAGAAAGATGAAAGGCAGAAGGGCAGAAAAAAAAAGTTCCTTCCAGCTGAGTCAACCCCTGTGAAGCAGCCCTCCCACACACTTCTGCTTGTATCTCATTGGCCTGAACTCAGTCACAAAGCCATATCTACACACAAAGAAGTAGGGAACTAGTCTTTTGTTCTAGACAGCAATATGCCCAGCTAGAACTGAGAGTTCTGTAAGTAAGGGGGAAAAGGAGAACAGTTGTTGGGTAAGCAACTAGCAGTCTCTACCACAAAATCTTTTACTTCCTCAGCAAAGACAAACTCATTGAAGGTCTGTTATATACAATGCAGGGCATTTCAGGGGTTTTCTATTTGTACCGGTAGAGCTGGTTGAGGAATATATCAGTTAGAATGCCTTCAGCTGTGGAGCACCTGGCTGGTTCAGTGGGTGGAGCATGAGACCCTTGATCTCAGAGTCGTGAGTTCGAGCCCCACATCAGATGTAGAGAGTACTTTAAAAAAAAAAAAAGAATGCTTTCAGCAGCAAGTAACAGAAAACCCAACTCAAAGGAACTTAAGCAGTGAGGAAATATGCCTTCTCATATAATTAAAAGTCCAGAAGTTGACCTTAATTAATTAACTAGTCAGTTCATTAATATAATTAATATAGTACTTAAGTTAATAGCAACTATATAATGTCATCAAGGGTCCAGGTTCTTCCTGTTTCTTCACTTTCCCATCCTCAGTGCTGGTTCATTCTCCAAAAGCTCCCCTCATGGTCAAAAGATGGTTATAGGGTTCTATTTCACATCCTAATATGACAACATCTAGATAAAAGAGCAAGGAAACAACCCAGTCACACAGCTGCCTTCAGCTCATGGGTTGGCTGGAGGGTCTAAGATGGCTTCACCCATGTGTCTAGGGTCATGGCAGGGATGGATGAAAGGGTGGGACTTCTCTCTGTCATCATTCAGTTGTCTAGCCTGAGCTTCTACATGGTACCTGCGTTCCAGAAAGGCAAGTGCTTATCAAGCTTCTACTTGTCTCATGCTTACTAATGTCCTATTGGCCAAAGCAAGTCATGCACCAAGTCCAGAGTCATTGTGGGAGGGGACTACACAGGAGCTTGAACGCCAGGAGCTATGGTTCCTTGGAAGTCATCAGTGTAACAGTATTCTACAGGGTACTATGTTGGGCCTTTGTAGGTAGGGAAAATTCATCTTCAGGAGCTTACAGTATGGTCAGAAACATGAGACACAAGCTATTAGAAAGTTAAATAGCAACACAGGATTTAAATAACATTTTTAAGACTATGTAAGTCTAAAGGCAGACACAGAGAAAGGAGTTTCGACCTGGGAAAGCTAGTTGGAATTTTCTCAAAAGGTCTCATATGGTGGTGAATGTTCCATGCCTCAGGGTCAGGCCTTCAGCCTTCATCTTCAATGTATTTAGTTCTCCAGTATTGATTAATTTCTAGAGAAATAGCTCCTTCTGACTAAGCACACAAGCTGCCAAGTAGAGTATACCAGAATGCCAGTGATATTGAAGAATGGACTATAATGGCAAGCTGATCAGATGTCAAGATTGACCTACACTACCCATTGCCTCAGTGAGCAAGTTCAAATGAAGCTAAAGTTGCTTGATGAATATGGAATCAGAATAAGGTTGCTTGATGTCCACAGTAGCCAAAATACGGAAAGAGCCCAGATGTCCATTGACAGATGAATGGATAAAGAAGATGTGGTGTGGGGCACCTGGGTGGCTCAGTTATTAAGCATCTGCCTTCGGCTCAGGTCATGATCCCAGGGTCCTGGGATCGAGCCCCACATCAGGCTTCCTGCTCAGAGGGAAGCCTGTTTCCCCCTCTCCAACTCCCTCTGCTTGTGTTCCCTCTCTCGCTGTATCTATCTCTGTCAAATGAATAAATAAAATCTTTAAAAAAAGAAAAAAAGAAGATGTGGTGTATGTATGTATATATATACAATGGAATATTACTCAGCCATCAAAAACAATGAAATCTTGCCATTTGCAATGATGTGGATGGAACTAGAGGGTATTATGCTAAGCGAAATAAGTCAGAGAAAGACAAACATCATATGATATGATATTCCACTCATATGTGGAATTTAAGGAATTTTAACAAAACAGATGAACATAGGGCAAGGGAGGGAAAAAAATAAGATGAAAACGGGGACACCTGTGTGGCTCAGTCGGTTAAGTGTCTGCCTTTGGCTCAGGTCATGATCCCAGGGCCTGGGATTGAGCCCCGCATTGGGCTCTGTGCTCAGCGGGAGGCATGCTTTTCCCTCTCCCTCTGCTGCTCTCCCTGCTGTTCTCTCTCTCTGTAAAATAAATAAATAAAATCTTTTAAAAAAATAAGATGAAAACAGAGGGGGAGACAAACCATAAGAGACTCTTAACTATAGAGAACAAACTGAGGGTTGCAGGAGGGGAAGGGGGTGGGGGGATGCTGTAACTGGGTGATGGGCATTAAGGAGGACACTTGATGTAATGAGCACTGGGTGTTATATGCAACTGATCAATCACTAAATTCTACCCCTAACACTAATAATACAATATATGTTAATTAAATTGAATTGAAATTTAAAAATCTTTTTAAAAAGAAGCTGTATCCCAGAACAATAAAGAAATATTAAGGTTGCTTGGATATAAACCTTGAATTATTAATGGGCTCAGAGGGCCCACTACATCCATTCTCATTCATTCATTCATATGTACATTTTAAATGTATTATGGACTATTTAAGACAAAAAGGATCAAATATAATGCAGCTGATACTTGTAAAATGAAATACTACCAATACAATTGAAGGCGCCTGAATATCCCCTAGGGTTGAATCTCTTTCCTCCCCGACAGAATTAATCATTTTTCTGAATTTGTTGTCAAACACTCCCGTACATTTCTTTGTTCTTACATTTCATATATGTGCATCCCTAAGTTATAAAACATACTGCCTTGTATTCCACCAATATTGAGACACCAGTTAGTTGCCAAGTACAACAGATAAAGATAGGAATGATTAATCAAGACAGTCCCTGAGGCATGGACTCACAGGGAAAATCACCCAAGTAATTACAAATGTAGCTAAGAGCTACAAAGCAAAAGGACAGGTTCCTATGAGAGTCCTCACTCAGGGAACTGCCTTTCTGGGGTTAACCTGAGCAGGTTTGGGGCAGGCACAAAGACCTGCCAGGTAGTCTGGACACTCACATTGCCTTGACAATGTACCCTCTACCTTGGGTACTCTTGGATGGCTGCTTTGCCAACCTTTTCTCCACTCCTTTCCTCAAGTAGTTTCACTCCTTGGCAGAGAGCAAAAAGCCTGTCCTGAACACTACACTCCCAATTCAATTCACAAGTACTGCCAAGAGAGTCAACTCCCACGTTTCCCAGTCTAAGAACTGGTCTTTGCAGCAATTTCAGTAGGTAAAGGAGGTAAAGCCATGTGAATCTACTCACACTGACGTATTTACTCTGGGCAGGAGCCCATTTGGGGGGGAAACCCCTGTAAATTCTCAAACATATATGCCTAGAATTATATA